AAAAAAATGAAGAAGTCTGGTATTTGTTAGTTGGGAGTCGCCAGACATAGAGTACTGAACTATACCCCTGTGAATAATTTTAAAAACACTGGAACAAAGCGTAGGTGGTGAGTGAAGTCTTTGTACTGCGGCTCAGGAGTGTCTTTGTTTAGCTCTCATTGGTAGCTCTTTTTCTCTGCTCAAGATGTGATGATTTAGTTGTAATACCGTCGGGTCGAAGTGACTCTGCACAAGCATTTCTGGGACTAGGTGAGGCATATTGCTGGTATTAATAACTACTTTTTGGGATATGTGTTCTAGCCTCTGAGCATTCTACTGCATGGAATGACAGTGATAATGTTGTGGCTTACCGCAAAAAGAACAGGCTCTCTTTTATAAATCCAGATACGGAATTAATTAAAGCCACTGCTGAACTTGCAGCCAGAAGTCTCAGAAACTTTCTGATGTCGGTGTGTGACGTTATCAGGCTTGGTTATCAGTGTTGGACAATGGGGCCACTCTGAAATGTCAACAACACTGGCTACAAGCGGGACTATTTTATACCTGCACATTTCGCAGTCCTAAACAAGTTACTATTATAGATTCGGTCTCTATTGATCCCTTTTGAAACACATTTGCACTGTTGTCCGTGAAGTTTGGAACAACACTGTAGCCTCATGCCTCCACAGAGGGGCAAAAATCTGATCCACCCTGCGTGGCTGTGAATAGCACAAACATCACAACATTGCTTTGCAATGAAGTCCTGTCCACTGTGTTCCGCAATGGACACGCCAGCTCTGAGCACCCTATCATTCTGCACTCTAATCCACTGCAGCTTTAAAGACAGACAAGAGCTGTCAGCCGCAGCATTTCTCTGTGGAGCTTTTGCCTAACAAGTCATCTTGTTACTGTCTGTCTCCTATCAGCCAAGAGCAGCTCTGGCAGCCCCTGGGTTGCCTCCCAAACTTCGAGCTGGGACCTCCGATCGCTCACCGCATTGCAGATGCATGCATCAGTAAGCTTCAGGGACAGGCTGAGTTCCTGTACTCAATTTTCCCTTCACATACGATAAACAGGCAATTACACATCCTCTTGTACTTGATGGCCGCATGCTGAACTTAAGTGTACACTATTAGTCTATGTCCCAGTAGGGACGGCTGAGTAAGTGTGTGGAGGAGCTGAAGAGGGGTGGGGGGTGTCGATGCTAGAATGTGTCAGAATCTAGCCATCAACATTTACATCCTTCAAGGCCATAACGTGACACGTGAATAATTAGAACTGGGGTTAAATGACAGGGAATACTAAATTCTTCCAATGTTCCAGCATTAAATTCCCTGGTTTGTTCAGCATTTCCTCTGGTCCAATACATACTAAATACACACTTTTCTGCAATACAGCTTTTGTCTTTTCCTAACAGATTGTTGAGAAGCAGTTGTGACACTCTCGAATAAAAATCCCAACCACAACACTGAAGAAAGCAGCTGATGAAAGCTGAAGATTACAAATCCAACAATCCACTTTGGCAAATTGATCCAAGCGAAAGATTTTTGTGCAAATACAAAATGAAGCATGTTTATAAAATGCACAAGCAAGTTCACATATTTATATATATATATATACACACACACATAAAACACACTGTTCAAACGCCGAAATAAGACATGTAGAAAGTAGCCCTAATTTATTTTTCATGGGGGTGCGGGGGAAGGGGAGTCTCCTTTAGAAAAGGAATTAACCAACTGCTTAAGAAATGCATCAGTGTTAATAATTTTCATCTTTCACCAGGGAAAATGCACATGACAATGATTCTCAGGTACGCACACAACCCAGTAGTGTGGTCGCTCGCAGAAGTCCGAATAAGTCAGTTTCTATACAATACTATGTGCTAACAATCGCAATCAGAGGGGTCCAAAAACTTTCAGGACATGTAACAAGATAATATAATGCAAAATGGCTATTTTGCGGGGACGGGGGTGAGTGGGAGGAAGATCTCCTCTCCCGTGACGTTATCCAAAGCACCAGATGTGAAAACAAATGAAATAGACGCAAAATGTTCTTTATGTCTGGTCCTCTTCAGGCAACAGGAATTCGCAGTCATAAACTATGTTAAGTGCGTCCAACGTAACTGCCTTTTTAAGTTTCCATTTCATTCAGTCTGAAAGTTTGTCTTCTCAGCCAAATCTTACATGGTTTGAAACAAAAACTCTAACAGAGTTACCCTGTCCTGTGCGAGTCCAGACGCCTGTCCAGAATAAACTTGCTGATTTTAAAACGAAGACTGCATGCTATTCACTAAGACTATAATTTGTTAACATTCTGAGACTTGTAGTAGTCAGTTTGATACCAAATCCCTGGAACTTGGCAGTAGCTTACAGTTCAAAGTCCCGTCAGTGTTGAGGGGACCTCGACAATTTGGGACCAGCCTGCTCTCAGTGGTAGGAAACCAGCAATATCTCAATTCTACCATTACCCATAAACTTCTTTCTTTTGATGTTACTTGCTCCTATTAATCACATTAATGTATATAATATCTATTTGTATCAATTTTAAAGTCAAAATATTCTGAATTAAGAACAGTTCCTCTGTTTCTTTGTTTAAGGGTCATTCTCCAGTTCCAAGTCAGTGTTTGGGGGTTCACAAGGAATCTCCCACCTTTTAATACTTCAGTTAAGTGCATTCTTTACATGTTCATATAATATGGATTGCAATCTACAACACTCTTTAATTGTAACTCTGTGCCCAATGCTATAGACCCTACCAAAAAGAAACATTTATGTTTGACTTCGTCGTTAGCAAGAAATTGTTTTTTTTTAAAAACACCCCTCTCTGTTGAGCGCTACTGATTGAAAGATTAGGTTCCCGGAAACAACAGAACAGTTATTTGAGCAATCCTAGTGCGATCAAAATTTGTCACATTGGGATTACCTTTACCGGAGAATGACCCCAAATGTCTTTTACACTATTCGAGATACATGCTCTGCAATCGAGCAGTGTATGCGCGCAACAAGACTCACGCCTACGAACTCTTCAGTGGTTGATAGCTTCAAAAACCTGCAGGTTCAAGAATTTTGGTTTTGTTTTCGGACAAATATTTGTTCTTGGTATTTAAGCAATTGTATCCTAACAATAAAAGGTATTGCTTTTACAGCTTGCGATCATCTATCTTCCCTTCGGAGCCTGTGCAAAGCCAAGTGTATTTTTGAGCTCTGTAAAATAATAATACTTAAGCTTCTTTGTCATATGGCTTTTCAGCAACGCGTGTGCTGGTCACAATCGGGCTATATTTTGGAACTGAATGGACCTACTGTAAATGGGGCGGGGGGGGGGGGGGGGTGTGGATAGTGACCCCAAAGAGAGCGAGGTTGGTAGCTAAGAAAGAGAATTTCATAAATGACATGACATATATCACCATGTAATGCTGAGGAGTGAGTGACTGGATCCAGGTACTAATACTATAGACACTATTTATGCTCTCTGACAGGATACTGCAGCATGCCGGCAGATCCATGCCGTTGTTTTCAGAAAGTAATTAAACAAGCTGCGTTTTATCATACTTTGTTTTAAAGCGAAAATAACAAAGAAAAGGGAGAAAAATAACCAAACTGCTCAAGAACAATTTTCTTTTCACACCCATCCGCACTTTCAGCGACAGGAATCCTTTCCCCAACAAGATTTTACACTATGACAGGGCAAAAATATGAATCGAACAACCAACCATCAATAAGAGTGTAATACTGATGAGCCAAAGGCCTTATTTCAATTTATTTAAGAAAGCATCCTTCTTAAGCTAGCTGTTAGTGCAGAGGTCCCTGTAATAAAAGGTTCCCCAACCATCAATTACTTTCAATGTGCTTGACCTTTGGGTCTAAATTCCTTGGAATGGAATAAGATGGTTTTGGCCAAATAAACACCTTTCATTCTACATTTAACAACTAAAACTTCCTTTGGAAGATGTATTCTGCAAAGGTAAAATTTTCTGCAATAATTAAGTATCAGGGGCACAAGTTAAAATGAGTTATCACTGGTGAATCAAGTTGAAGATTTACATTTCTAGGTGAGTTGAAAACAAAGTCACCAGAGAAGACTACTGAAGGTAGAGAAACAAGGGGGTTCTTGAGAAACCGAGGGATTTGGTAAGATGTGAAGGAGTTAGGCTGGGAGGTAGGACTGGAAGTCAGGGGGATAGGTTCAAAGGTCAAGGAAGTAGGGTAAGCAGCCATGGAGATAGGGTAAGAGCTCAGGGAGGAAGGGCAAGAAGTCATAGAGGTAATGTTAGAAGGTTTGGATAAGGAGGAAACTACTTGGATATTTCTTGATCTTAGAACTGAATCCCCTGTTCTAATGAGATAACTCTGGGAATACTTTCGGAATGGGAACCTGGACTCTAGTAACTACTCCAGTTTGACAGTCAGATATTTATGTAGAACTAAATCCAAACAGAATCAACTGCAAGAGACAGCAGGAACTGCAGATGCTGGAGAATCTGAGATAACAAGGTGTAGAGCTGGATGAACACAGCAGGCCAAGCAGCATCAGAAGAGCAGGAAAGCTGACATTTCAGGTCTAGACCCTTCTTCAGAAA